GTGCGGGGGCCGGGAGGCGGAACGCCCCCCACCGCGGGCCGCCCCGGACCACAGCCGTCCGTTTTCTCCCCAATCGGTGCAGAAAATGGGCGTGAACTTCACGGTGAGCAACAAGGACACGGTGAAGAGCAGCGATGTTCTCTTCCTGGCCGTGAAGCCCCCCATCATCCCCTTCATTCTGGAGGAGGTGGGTCCCGACATCGAGGCACGGCACATCGTGGTGTCCTGCGCCGCCGGCGTCACCATCAGCTCCATCGAGAAGGTGAGAAGGGGTCGGGCCGTGCTGGAACGCGAGCTGCTCCCAGTCCTCCTGCCCCCAGGAGCCGATGCGAGGGACAGGCGTTCCTTGTGCTCCTCAGCGCTGAAGTCATGCAGCAGCAGCCAACTAGTTGCTTTTGGTCACCTTCTCCTGTCCTCATCAGAAAACGCTGTTAGAGGTTTGATCCAGCTCTTCCCTCACATGAGGTGCTGTCTGACCGTGTTTCTCTCAGCAGTAGTGGGTCATCTGCCCTGAATTCCAGACATTATGCTGAGTGTCTGCAGGCGCTGTTCTGGAGACTTGTGGGTTGATGTGGGAATGAGGCTTTTGGGGTACTGTTCCCAGCCTGGCTCTGCCCAGTTCCCTCATCACTGGTACTCACGTATGGGCTGCTGCAGCTCAAAACAGGACGTCTGGGATACACAAAGCTTTCTTTTCCCTCAGCTTGTGTTGTTGTTGCCCTGGGGGATCCTCTCCTGGACAGCCCATTGATGCCAAATATCCACTAAAGCTCATTTCTCTCCCTTCTTTCTTTTTCCTTACTTTCTATCTCCAATGATTTTCTGCCCTAAGAAACTCTCTACCTTCTGCCCCACACCAAAAGTGATCAGGTGCATGACCAACACCCCTGTGATTGTCCGGGAAGGTGCTACAGTCTATGCCACTGGAACTCATGCAGATGTGGAGGATGGGAAGCTCTTGGAACAGCTGATGGCCAGTGTGGGCTTCTGCACTGAGGTGGAAGAGGACCTGATCGACGCTGTAACGGGGCTCAGTGGCAGTGGCCCTGCGTATGTATGTGCTGTTTCCTCAACTTGTGGCAGCCTTGGGGAGAGCAGTTGGCTTTGCCTGTGCAACTTAAGCTTGTCATTTCTTGTTTTTCCCATCAGTCACGTTTGCAATGGGACATGTAATCCAGGTGTCCAGTTTATAATCAGTTTGGGTCACAGGAGAAGTCTGTTACCAGTCAGATGAGTCTGAAGTCCATAGCCAGCATGCAGTGTCCACATGTCCATGTTGCAAAATGTGGGCCTGCAGTTAGCATGATGCAGAATTTCTCCCCTTCCCCTGCTCCTGAGCTGGAACTAGTGGGAGGGAAGCCTGGCATGGCACTCAGGCAGTACATGGGGAGGCTTTTGTCAAGTCTGTAAGTGACAGGAGTCACAGCATGATCCTGGAGCCCTGGATGCTCTCCTCACTGAGACTGTCAGTCCTGGAACAGAGAGACTTTCAGTCACCTCCCTCTGTCTGGTCGCAGGCGTTCACTGCGCTGGATGCCCTCGCGGATGGGGGAGTGAAGATGGGCCTTCCCCGCAGGCTGGCAGTTCGGCTCGGAGCACAGGCTCTGCTGGTCAGTATTTCCTCCTCCAGAACAAATCTCAGTCTGTGCCTGCTCTGTGCAGAGGGTTCTGCACCTCACAGTTTGACAGGATCTTGGTTCTCTCACTGAATCTACTTTAAGAATGTTTGGTTTGACTGCATGCAGGTTCCCGGTGAGGGGCCCTAGGAAGTGTCTGCAGCAATCTGCTGGCGCTGGTGGTGGTGTGGGAGCTGGGGCCTGGGGAACTGTGGCTCCTCTGCAGGCTTCTTCAGCTCTGGAAAGTGTTTTGGCAGCCTGCAGGAGCCCAGTTTTGCCCACTGTGAGTGTTGGTGCTGCTCCCTGCAGTGGAGAAGAGGAGTATGTGACAGTGGCTTCCTCAGTCAGATCTCTGGCAGCTGTTCTCCTTGCTACAGGGTGCTGCCAAAATGCTGTTAGAGTCTGAGCAGCATCCCGGCCAGCTGAAGGACAACGTCTGCTCACCCGGGGGAGCCACTATCCATGCCCTGCACTTCCTGGAGAGCGGTGGCTTCCGCTCACTCCTCATCAATGCTGTGGAGGCTTCCTGCATCCGGACAAGGTGAGCACCTAGGAAGTTCTAAAGAGCCTTCAAAACTAGCCCCCCAACCCTCTCCATCTTCCTTTTGCTATGTCTTCTTCTCCCACCAACCCATTGCAGGGAACTGCAGCATTTGGCAGACCAAGAGAAGATCTCCCCAGCAGCCATAAAGAAAACTTTGCTGGACAAGGTAAAGCTGGAGTCTCCTTCTCTGTCCGTGGCATCTGCCAGCAAAGTCAGTCTGTTCACCAACAAGAGCCCCAGCAGCAAGAAGAACTGACCAGGCTGCTGTGGCCTGGCAGTGCTGAACATCAGTCTCCTCCCTGCTATTTCTGTTTTGTCTAAGGGAAAATGCTCACTTGGAATGTTGGTGTCCCCTATACCTGGCTCGTGGCTCGCAGCAGCTGTGGGGCACTGCAGTGTTGTGGCAGAGGGTCTTTAACCTATAGTGAGGCTGGTGGAAACTGTCCCTGACATTGCTGTTCTGGGCAGAGAGCAGAGCTTTGTCCAGGGCACTGGCTTTTTCAGAAGCTCTGGATGCTTCCAGGACTTGGGCAGTGTTCATGGTGTCCCATGCAGAAATTGGTTCTAACAGGATTTTTAAAGAGGTTTCAGAACTTTTTGGTTTCAGAGGTCTGTACCAGGGATCCACCCTCTAGCCCCATCTTGCATCTGCTGTCAGAGCTTGTGTCTTGTCACTGTCATTAGCTGGAGCAGATGCTGCCACACAAATGCCATGCTGCATGGTGCATCAGGAGCTGGGCCCAAAATCACCTCTTGGAAGGGACCAAGTGCCTCTGCCCCATCTCCCATCACTCTGAGACAGATGGTGTGAACCTTGGACCACACTCCTTTTCTCCCAGGTGGCCTCCCTTCTCTCTGCTTGGCCTGGCTTGGGGAACTGTGAGCTGTCACTGCCCCTCTACTGCTTCTAGTCTTGCTTGGGTAGTTGGGCAGGCAGAGGAGGGGTAGTGAGTGCTTGCATTTCCCTCTGCCTCTGAGCTGCTGGTGATGTTAAAGTGGTTTTAGTTTAGTGTCAGGCTTATTGCTGGTAGCAAGGTATGACCCTGTAGGTGTGACAGATGGTAACTCCTCTCTTTATATAATAAACTTCTCTGACGAGAGCTGTGGCTAATCCCAACTGTCTATCTCTTGCCTCTGGCAGTGACCATTGGGTCAAGAGTCCCTGGGTGCTGCATGTTCCTCCCTTTCCCACTTGGGAGCTGTGAATACCCACACAAACAGGCCAGATGGATTAAGTACTGGCTGATACAAAATACAACGGGGCATTGTAGAAAGAGTTCCCACTCGGCTGAAAAAGCAGGATGCAGAATGAAAGGACGGCTGAGCTTCAGCCTCTCCTCAGGGAGACAGGGGTTGCCCCAGGGTACCCCTAGAGACACAGCTATAGATGAACTTCCTAGATGCTTGTAGACATCCTCTGACATGAGGTGGCCACCTCAGCAGACGGAACCCCAGCCTGTCAGCGCTACAGGAACCCTGCAGCGCTCACGGTGATGTCCCCGCGTGCAGGGCAGAGAGCAGCGTTTCGCAGCAGAGGCGGCAGCCCCGGCCCTAACGCGTCGCA